CCTTCCAACCTTCTAAATACTCCTTTATATGTGGTTCAGAGTTCTGGCACCATCCCCTGAGCCTTCTTGGTCTGGTATTCTGTGTTGTTGCTGACAGAGCTCCTCACTGCACTTCTACCCGATCTGCCATCTTGTTTGTTCTCTCATATTACACTTTAATCTTAATAGTTTTAAATGCCTTATTCGCTAATTTACTGATTCTTTTTCCTGACAACTCAAAATTGTTAAAGACCTTCCATTAATTTTGACATTTCATTTATTTTATTCTTCAGCTCCAATATTTGTTTCTTTTATAGTTTCTCTTCATTGACATTCTCCTTTAATCTCTGTATCATTTTCTTGTTTTCCTTTAGTTCATTGTGTTTTTCCTTAGTTTTCTTTAGCTTATATAATATTGTTATTTTAGAATTTTCCAATTTTTCTAATTATTCAGACTTTCACAGGATTCATTTCTGTTTTTATACATTTTATTTCTGAGTGGGTCCTCCTTTCATGTTTCTTTGTATGTCATGTGATTTTGTTGTTGTTGTTGTTGTTGGAACTGGGGCATTTTAATTTAGTAATTCTGAAATGTAAATTCTGTCTCTATCCCTGGAATTACAGTTATGTACATATTTATTTATGTATCTATAATTTTTTATAGCTGTAACAGTACATCTGCTCAGCAACCTTGCCTTACAAAACCTGTATGCACTCTGAGGAGTCCTTTCCCAAGTCCATGTCAAACTAGTGTTTGAAAGGAAATTTTCTTGTACTTCAGGAAAGAAACAAACTTAAATCAGAAAATTAATATCTGAATACCTCACTCCTTAAGAACTGTTATTGTTATTTAATTGAGGCTGTAATCAAATGTTTGTTTAATAATTTTTCCAAGCTAAATTGTAAAAATAATGTGTTCCAATTCTCTTATCTTTGCAGTAAATCAGTAGCTTTGTAGATTTTACCAAAGGCCTCTCTAACCCTTTGAATCTGCCAGTTGTTGTTGTTGTTAAGTGCCATCTAGTCAGTCCTGACCCATAGTGACCCCATTTAGGTTTTCCAAGGAGGGTCCGGGGTGCTTGAACCACCCAACTTGTAGTTCAGACTGACTTTGCAGTCCAACGCCTTAACCCACAGCACCACACCATGACCCCTTGAATGTGCCAGTAGGATGCAGAAATTTCTGAAAGAGACCCCAAACCACTTCAGTGATTTGTACCCATCCTTCATGGCACTGTCAGATGAAGTCAAATGTGCTCATTGTGTAACTTGAAATTCTTTGCAAAGTCGCCATTTCCTGCCCGAGTATCAACCGTCCACTGTGAGATCCAACACTGTAGAGTAGCTGAGGACACGGGATGATGACCAGTTGATGCACACGGTTCATCTAGGAGACATCAATTGTTTGTCCCTTTATGAAACACTCCAGTGGTTGAACTAAATGTCTTATGTTTCCAGAGGTTCAAAATAGTTGATTCCAGCTGTTCTTTCCAGTGCTACTGTTATATAAGTAGAAGGGTGGCCCTCTAGAATTCCCAACACTGCCATTTTACATAAATTCTCTCACACTGCCCCATCTCCTTCATCCCTTAGAATTCAAATCTATGCTTCAGTGTGCTTAAACACACTAACTAGACCTGTATGATAAGTGTTGGTGGCACTAACTGTGGGCTTTACTCAGTATTTCCCCACTCAGTCATTCTCATATGAAAAGACAAACAACAGCAGTCCACTGTATAAAATAAAGGCTAGGAATAGTGTGCCCCTGTCTGGAAGTGCAGTCTGCGCTTGTCCATCTCCACAGCAGCCTTGCCACAGTGCACACTGCCATAAATGGGATGCAGTGTAGCTCTATGGAAAAAGAAAAATATGCTCCTCATTTGAGAGTAGGCTTTATCTTAGTTCAGTGGTTACTAAATGCTGTGATTCTTTGATTTCCAGAGTGCAGAGATCATGAATTCACCTGTATTGACCTGGTGATTTCTGGTTTGGGTGCTGGCGGATAGGAGCATGTGGCTGCCTACCGTCTTGCCACTTCTTGTATAGTCTTTTAAAATTCATGGAGTAAAGCATAATTTCATTTTCAGAATCCTGCTTTCAGATCTCTTTTTCTGTGTATGTAGCTTAATTCATTAAGCTTTCTTAATTTAATGATGTTATTGCTATGTGCCATCAAGAAGATTCTGACTCAGTTTAATGATGTTGTTGTTGTTTAATGCAATGGAGTTGGTTTTGACTCATAGTGACCGTGTTACCCTCCCAAGGAGTGGCTAGTGGATTTGAACCACCAACTGTGAAACAGAACTTGAGTGTAAGGGTTCACAGCAGTAAATGAGTAAAAACTGTAGGAAAGTATTTTGTTTTGTTTTTAATGTGTGTTAATATGTGTGTATGTTTGTATATGTATATGTCCATATTTATATATAGTATGTTAAGAATATTTTTCATATCTTTGTCTCCAGAAAACACATTTGAAGTAAAATTATTTAAGAATAGCTCAGGCCTAGGATTCAGTTTTTCACGAGAAGATAATCTCATACCTGAGCAAATGAACACCAGCATAGTAAGGGTTAAAAAGCTGTTTCCAGGACAGCCAGCAGCAGAAAGTGGAAAAATTGATGTGGGAGATGTTATCTTGAAAGTGAATGGAGCCTCTCTGAGAGGATTATCTCAGCAGGTGAGCACCTGGTTGTAGGGTAGAGCCCTTGTAATGATGGGATGGATTGGTCTTTCAGGACCGTTTTCTAACACTCTGATTTACCTGTCACATTATTTTCATTCATGACATCCACAGGAAGTCATATCAGCTCTCCGGGGAACATCTCCAGAAGTGTCCTTGATTCTTTGCAGACCTCCACTGGGTGTGCTACCTGAAATTGATTCTGCTCTTCTGGTGAGAACTGTGAGCTCCAATAATGTTTTTATAGAGACTATCTAATTCAGCTATAAAGATTTCATCATTAGTTGATCTCCTGAGCAGCACACCTAATTATGTCTTTAGCTAAGAGTATTATCCTTTGTGTGTGGCTTAGCCCATTTGAGTGCTTTCCATATTTGTAATAGAAAATAATTTGATTTCACTATATTTTCTCTCCCTCCCAATTCTAGAATTTTAGGATCCTAGAATTTGAAGCATTTCCTTTCTAAGTATATAGAGAAAAGGGTATAAAATAATTTTTTTTAAAAAAATCAACTTTTGTTTATTTCTGCATTGAACCAAACTGAGAAAAATAATTTTCATTTTGAGCTAGTTTAAGTCTAAATATTGCAAAGAAAGGTGTGTTTGTTCATTTCCTTTTCTTAGATCAAGAAATAGTGGAAGGATTAAACATTGATTTGATGTATAAACCACATACTGATGACAGAAGTTCATGCATAGATGGATAATAATATACTTAAAGAAAGATTGCTTTTGGACTGTCTAGTTAATGTAGTGCTCCCCTACCAGTCTTCAATATGAATGGCAGGAGTATCTAGCCCTAAAGTAAATATTATTTGATAGCTTTCGCCTTGTCATTGTGGTGAGGAGGAGGACATTAATAGGAAAGTAACATATCTGTAAGATAAGATAGATTATAAATAGCATTTAAAAACTACATTGGTTTTGGGCACCAAACAAGAAGAATTGACTGGAAATCTCTTGGTGAGTAAAAATCGGGGATGGGGAACGTCCATCTCACGGGCCATATGTTGTTGTTGTTGTTAAATGCTGTTGAGTCAGTTTTGACTCATAGCAACCCTGTATAGGGTGTCCTAGGAGCAGCTAGTGAGCTTAAACCACCAACCTTGTTGTTTAAACCAACCTTGGAGTCCAGTACATTATCTCATAGCACCACATGAGGATGCCTAGCCATCACATTATGGGTGAGTTAATTAAATATTTAACCAAATATAGCAGGCTAATTAAAAAGTTGTTAAATTTGTATGGCCTATAAATGATATTATAAATATCCAAATGGTCCTTGGCAGAAAATAGGTTCCCCACCTTTGGTATTAATTAATATAATTTTTCTGGAGGGCAATTGAAAATATTTACCAAGGCCTATAAAAATGCCCTGTGTTCTGATAGTATATAAAATTACAAGCAGATAATAGAATATCAGTGAAAATGTTGCAGAATTCTAGGTTTCTATTAATAGCGAAAGCTGGCAATGACTTCTGTAGCTAATAAAAGGAAATTATATAAGTGAGTTAAAATTATATCCATAAGGAGCACTAGTATACAGTTGTTAAAATGTTGATTTCAAAGCACTTCAGGGACTTCAGAAATATTTTCATGGTAGAAAGTTTAAGTTTTAAAGGCAGAATACAAAAACTGCAATGTGTGATTCAGTTTAAGTTTCAAACTACTAGAAGTTGTCATTTTTATAGGTGATGTTTATATATATATATTTTTTATTCTGTTAGCATAAAAAGAGGCCTGGTGACACAGTAGTTTAAGCTCCTCAGGAGAAAGATGAGGCTGTCTGCTTCCATAAACTGTACAGCCTTGGGAATCCTATGGAGCTGTTAGTTCTACTCTGCCCTATAAGACAGACACTTCAGCCTCTAGAGGGACTGTGTCCTCAGCTTTCTGTCCTGTATGTTGGAATCCACTCGCTACAGCAGTGAGTTAGATTTGGTTTTGACTTAATGAGCATAAATTACTTACATTATCAGCAATTATTTGAATATATTAGTTTAGAAGTGCCGCTGTTGTTCCACATGTTCATTTTCAATTAAAGTGTTGTTTTATTTTTATTAACACGTGTTACACTTCGGTCTTTTTGTAATGTCTCTGTTGTAGACTCCACTACACTCGCCTGCACAAGTCCTTCCAAACAGCAGTAAAGACCTTCCTCAACCATCATGTGTAGAGCAAGGCACCAGCTCAGATGAAAATGAAATGTCTGACAAAAGCAAGAAACAATGTAAATCCCCATCCAGAAGAGACAGCTACAGCGACAGCAGCGGGAGTGGAGAAGATGACTTCGTGAAAGCCCCAGCAAAGATGTCAAATAGGAGCTGGAGTTCAGCTCTGCGTCAGACTCTAAACAATATGGTGTCACAGGCAGAGGGTCAACACGAAGCTTCCCAGAGTCAAGAAGATGCCATGTGTACCATGTTTTACTATCCTCAGGAAATACCCAATAAACCAGAACTGGAGCGCAGGTATTCTCAATATTTGTATGTAGCACTTAAGCAGCTGGTTATCGTTGGTAACTGCAGTAGCAATAACATGCATTTCTGTAAGAATGAAATATGTCAATGTGTACACTTCACAATGGCTGGGCCAGATGATGACCTTATTGGGCGGCTAACTGTACTGGCAGTCTTAGTTAGCAAAGCACTGAGCTCTCTAGCCGTTCAACATGAGCTTTGCTTCACTCTTGCATATTTGCTAGTAATTGACAAGGTTATATTTCACTTTAATCACAGAAAGAAGACTTATTTAGCTAGTGATTTAGTGAGTGGAAAAATAGGTGACAGAAGTATAAAGGGAGAGGGAGGGAGTTGATTGAGAGTTTGAAAAAGGTAGGAGATAAAAGGGTAAAGAAGATGGAGAAATGATTGAAAGCATAGAGAAATATAATGAGAGACGTACAACTATATCGAATTAGTTATTGACAAATGTTACCCTGTATTTATGTCTTGAGTAATTCCAGGTCCATTCATGTTTGTTTTTTACCTCTATTCTCTCTTCTGAAATAACCACAAGAATCACACACATTTGGCTTTTGGTAACATTAGCTTCAGCCTTGAATTAATAAGGAATCAAAATTTTTGCACTTACCTGTCTTACTGATTCACAACGACTTATAGTGCTTCTTAAAAATAGAACCCAAATAGATAATAAATTGGTACTGTTAGCATGTAGAAGATGTGACATTAGTTAACTGCTCAGAATCAGACAGAAAGTAATTAGGATCTTATTCAAAATCAGACATAAGCATTTCATAGGCAGTTTCAAATGCTCAGCGTTTGTAGATAGCACACACTTAATATGTGAACATTGAAATGTATTTGCAAATACTCTTGCATTTTTTACCTTTGTAGCAACCCTCCTTCCCCTCTACTACTGGATGTGACTTCTATGCAAAGCTGTCAAAACCAGCCGGAATCTGCTGCCTCAAACTCATTGGACAAATGTCATATACCTGACAATTCTGAGCCTAGTAGGCAAGAAGACTTGACATCCTTGAAAACTGACTCAGAAAACCACCTTGATGACTTTGAGCTGGTGAGTTCTTTCCTCTGTATTAAAATAATCCCATATTTACTCAAGTTAAATACAAATACATATAATTGCCTTTTAGTTGGGGAAAAGCTGTCTTTTAGAGTGACTTTATCTCTGTGTTCAGTGAGTGGTTCCCTATCTGGCAGGTATATAGCTAAAAAAAAAAAAAAAATAGAGAAAAATACAAGAAGACCTGGGTACAAATTACTTCATTTGTCTGAGATTCAGTGGCTTCAGCTGTAAAATGGGAGCCCTGACGGCATAATGGTTCAGTGTTTGGCTCCTAACCAAAAGGTCAGCAGCAGTTCCAGCCCACCAGACAGTCTGCAGGAGAAGATGTGGCGGTCGGCTTCTGGAAAGATTGTTTTTGTTGTGAAATGCTGTTGAGTCAGTTCTGACTCATAATGACCCTGTATAGGGTTCCCAAGGAGTGGCTGGGTGAGTTTGAACTACCAACGATGTGCTTCAAACTGAACTTGCGGCCAGTTACAGCCTATGGGGCAGTTCTGCACTGTGCTCTAGGGTCATTTTGAGTCAGT